TTTGCGAGACAAAAGCGGTGAGATGACGGCGAGGATCTGATAGGGAAAAAAGGCCTATCTTCAAGAAAACAATGGGGAAGCTAAAAATGAACTTCTCTTTGTACCCTAGATTCTGACTCAATGCTAATTAAGATCTGTTGTGCCTCTTTCCCTACACAGTGCCTCATCTGGCCTTCTGTTTTTGGCAGCATAGAAGTGGATCCTTTGGATGAATATCAAGTGTCACGATTGAAGGTTGGCCATCTGCGAAAGTGTCTGTACCACCTGGATCGGATCGGGTGGGATCAGATGGAGGTGTTAACAGATATGCATGAGGGGGTCACGGGTATATTAGCCTACCTCCATCTGCATCCTCATTTTCATCCCCACACTTGACCCTCATCCTCGTCCCAGTCCTTATCTACATGTCAATTTCTTTTCCAATCTCCCTCTGCATTATCCATCGCCATTCGAACGTGAAGTGAGTGTCGACAGAAATTGACATATTCAATGTTAATAGAATTGGTGTGACGTGTTTTGCCGCCTACCTTGTCACCATTTCTTGTGTCTTGCCTACAGGTGTTGGCCAAGTTTCCTAAACTTGTTTCATTTTGTCCGTTCTGTGTATTGTAGAGGAGCTCCGTTTTGTTCTTAGGGTGCTGCCTATGCTGAAATGCTGTGGTTGGTCGTGCTTTTGTACTCTTTAACCGCTTTCTCGTATTCGTTCTTTTAAGTTAACCACTTTGCATTTGCTCTTAACGTCTAGCACTTTCCTAAAACCACCCCCTTTTAATCATGGGATGTCTGGCAACAGCCTTCCATCCTCAAGAGTGCCATATTTTCGTGTAAACAAACACGTCACCACTGCGACTTTTTAATTGCAGTGCGTAGTTTTGGGTGTTTTGCTAGAGAATGTACGTGCTATAACTCAATCACTCCTAGATAACCCCCCGTCAATATCATATGAATCCTCTTCTCCTTCTGCCACTTGAAACACTTAATTGAATGGGAAATTAATGAACTTGCACTAATGCTACAGGACGGATATACCTCCCAAGATATGCAACTTGAGTGTCGTTTCAAGGGTTCCCATGCAGTCGCGAAATGCTCATGGATGAGTTTTAATTTGCTCATAGATTTTTGCCGAACGCATTGTTAAATTCACCACTATTTCTGCCTTAAAGCTTTGGTACTACTTTAAAATTTGTTAGCTACTGTAATTTTAAAATGATGTTTTGAAAAAAAAACCTCTAAAAGCAGCAGAAAATGCACGGAAATGGCGGCCTGACGCCTGCCTCCAGGACGTGCCAGCAATCGGAGCGTGTGGCTAATCAGAAAAGAGCGTCTAGCTGTTACGACTTTATTGGCCGGAAAAACAAAGCGATAAAAATAGACAGGCCTACCAGCACCTTTTCGTTAGTACTTTAGTGTCAACGCCTGCATACGTCTGAATGGTGGCTCAACCGCACCCTCATGTAAGTTGCCAATTAAACCCGTGTAGTCACTTTTCACATTGTTTATGAGAAACATTTTGGTTTCACGCCTTTTTGACAGCACCGACATTTGATGTCAAAGAACCTATATTCTTTTTGGTCTCTTTAAGTGTTAATTGGTTATTTATGTGAGTACAGTAATAGAAACGATTTCGTAGGGAAAATTTTCATTATTCCTTTGAGACAGGTCAAAGAATGCCTTAGAAAATAGATTTACGCTTTTGTTTAATCATAAGCCATTTGATAAATCAGTGAAAGAAGAGCGAAATGCAATAAATATTTTTATTAATAAAAAAGACATCCAGACGCAATTCTAAGGTGAAAAGACAAGAATCAATTTACCAATTAAAAGTATTCGAATTCTCCTTGTTCTACCGTGCAAAACTACGCCATTTTGGGTTATTTATTACTAACTGCCCTATTTTTTGATGAGAAATAGGAAAAATTACCCGACAACTGATTTGAAATTTCAATTTTTAAATGTCATATTGTCGTTAGCGCGATTGATGGTTTTTACACAGTGTGATTGGTCCGCTCCTACTGGCCAATCAGATTGAGGCGATGCGATAGATGTCTTCTTTGTATGTCGAGCATTGACTGATGACAAAGGAGAAGTCAATCTTTACCAACTGCTTTAAGAAAGCACAATTTTTGACGTTCCACTGTGTAAAACACTCTTAACGCCATATAGAAGCCGTTACGGGGAAAGACCTGGTGACAACGGTCGAGAGGAGGCAAGTCCCCCTAGCGCTTAACCAACAGTTGTTTGTACGTCCTATGTGCTCAAATTTTAGGCCTTTTCCATTCAGATACTCACCAATTTTAATAAGAATTTGAGGTGGGATTAGCTCCCAAAAGTAATAAAAGAGATTTCCTTTCAGCAAGCAACTTCTTAATGGGGGAGCAGATAGTCCGAGCTCATGGGCAATGTGTTTAACGCCTGATCTTGATAATGGGTTACTTAGGGTTCCACGATTGTAATGTAGGTCAACAACGCTTATCCTGTCCGAGTGTTATGTCTTCTTTCGCCTTCAAAGAAGTGTCGGGGCTCTACAGTGTTATCCCATAAGGCGACAACCATAAACCAGTAGAAATAAGTCATTTCGCTTGCTAACTTGTTTATTTGCAAAGCCCGTCGGAAGGATAAAAGTCGTACTAGTTCTCTTACAGATGTTTGATTTATCTGCCTTCAATCAGAACAAAACTATGAAAACAAAAACAAATTCCTTAAAAGTCACGAAAATTTGTAAAATCTTCCCACATGGGTTCATGTACAGCTCTTTCCGATGAGGGAAGAAAAGAGGAAAGTTTTAAACCCTATACAGTAAATCCTACCAACTTGTCAGATGAGAGTAACTAACACGGGTTTTGATTTCACCCTGTTTCAAGATCAACAGTCTTTGCAAGAAAATGCGGTTAATAAGTTACCGGGTCACCTTAATTGGGCATCCAACCATAGAACAGCTAAGTGCAACCAAATGTGGGAAGTTTCAGACATACAAACAGGTAAATAGCTCTACTCTACTCAAAAAGCCTTCATTTAGTGGGAGTTAAGGAACCTGCAGAATTTTTTCCCCACACGATGATAAATTTCTGCCATAACAGTGCATAAAAAATTCCGAAAAAGAACTACTCATGTGGCCTCTTATTACTTGCACAGTTTAGTGAGAAAAAAGAACATGCACTAACCAACAACTGGGGAAATTGAATATGGGACAGGCTTGAAAAGGCGATTTAAGGCTGACCTATCTGCGTGCGTACGTGCGTGCGTGCCAGCTTCTAGGTGCGTCCGTGGAACCGCACGCGAATGCAGTGAGCCAATGATATACGAGCATGTGATATCTCCAGTGCCAATTGCAGAGGAGGCGGAGAAGAGGACCAACTTACACCGGGATGACGTCGCAGCATGAAGTGCGAGGGAGTGCAGAGACCTATTAAAAAGCGGCTCAGTCTATCCGCTGGAACAGTCGACTGACTTGTTGACCGACAGAAAGATTATGGGCCTGCGTCATGGAGCGTTCGGGCTATGCCTCCTACTTCTCATCCTCTATCCGGTCCTCCTCACAGCACAAAATGAAAACGACACAGCGGAGGACCCGATAGAGGGTGGTGTTAAACTAGCCGCATGGCATATCTCGGAGTTTTCAATCTACTTCTCTGTCATTCTAACCCTCCTGGGGATCACGCTCTTCAAGATGTATTACCCAAAGGTGCCCTACGTGCCAGACTATATTCCACAGTCTCTCCTCCTCATCGTTATTGGCGTTATCTTTGGCGCTATCCTCAATGCCATCACTCACCAGGGTCTGGAAAATACGCTGTGGAAACTGAGTCCAGATATGTTCTTCCACTTTCTTCTCCCACCCATTGTCCTGGATGCCGCGTACAGTCTTTACAATCGAACGTTTCTTGACTATCTTGGCAGCATTCTTATCTATGCTGTGGTCGGAACTGTGCTCAACTTTCTTATCATCGGCCCATTGATGTATGGGCTAGACGTGGCCGGAGCAATGGGTAGCAAATCGGTGGACATAACCTTCAATGCTTACCTCCTCTTTGCGTCACTCATCGTTGCTGTAGACCCCGTTGCTGTGTTGGCAATCTTCCAAGACATCGGTGTAGAGCCGGGCCTTTACTATATGGTCTTTGGTGAGTCCCTACTCAACGACGCGGTAACAGTTGTGCTCTACCGTATTATGAGTGAATTTGTGGGAGTGACCAATGTCGATGGTGCACAGATTGGGCTTGGAATTGGTTCCTTCTTCACCATTTCTTTCGGTGGTCTCATCGTTGGGGTGATAATCGGCCTAATTACCAGTCTCTTTACCCGTTGGACAGGCCACTTTGGCTGCTTCCTCATCATGCTCATGGCATACTTCTCGTACATCTTCGGTGAGACTGTAGGATGGTCAGGTATTATCTCGATGATTGGATGTGGTCTGGTACAAGCCGACTATGCCTTTCATAACATCTCATCCTCTGCTCTAACCAGCGTTCGTTTGGTGATCAAGGAGATCGCCGAAGTGAGTGAAGCCTTCATCTTCTTCCTTATTGGTGTGCAACTTTTCTCCGCTGAGATTGAATGGAACACAGGCTTCTGTCTTTGGGGTATGGTGGTCTGTCTCATCGCTCGAGCAATTGCTGTCCTGCTACTCACCTTCATTATCAACTGGATCAACGTGAACAATCTGCGTGTCACATTTAAGCAGCAAGCTATTCTGATTTACGGTGGTCTTCGGGGAGCTGTGGCTTTTTCCCTCGGTCTTCTTGTGGAGAATCAAGAACTGGGTCCAAATGGTGTGCACGTGCGAAAAATAATAGTCACCGGAACCCTCTTCATCATTCTCTTTACGGTTGGCTTGATGGGTCTGACAATGAAACCCTTGGTAAAATTATTCCACATCAAACTAGCTGGAAAGGAGGAGCTCTCTCTTTTTGGCGATCTCAATGGAAATGTTCTGGATCACGTCCTAGCTGGTGTGGAGGCGATAATAGGTTCAAATGGACGCAATCGTATCCGCGTCTTCTTCACTCGACTCGATGATCGATTCACCCGTCGTTGGCTTCAACGAGATCCGGAGACGCATGACGAGCGAATCGTCCGAACGTACGAGAACATCGCGCTGAAGCTGCACTACGCCACCATTAAACCGTCAAAGTCTTCATCTTATCTACAAGGCCTCCCAGAGACCATTAGGCAGAAGTATATGCTTGAGAGTGGCGACTCGACTCTCCATTTGCCATCCCTTGCAGTGAGTTTGTCGGATTCGAGATTGCTGGAATACTTCACGTTAGGTCAAAATCAAGACTCTTCCACCAACCTCAATGCACAATCTCAAGAACCCATAGAAGATCTTCATGGCCACAAAGTTACTTTTAGCAATACGGTTGACTTGGACAACGCTGAAGCATTTGTTGGTCCTCAATGGCGTCGCAAATCGGGTGTGATAGACAAGGGAGGAGAAGGGGACTTTGAAAAGGAGTTCTTCAGTGTCTTAAGATCCAAAGCAAGGGCGTCAAGAATACTGAGACTGAAAAAACACAAGGCCAAGGCAAGTGACGGTAGAAATGAGGATGGATATGATGAAGACAGTGAGCTGGAGAGGAGGAGAGCCCAACAAACCGCAGAGAACACGGCTAAAAATCGTCTTGCAACACAACCAGGTCGTGTCAATACCACATCTACGAGCCTGACCAGTACGCGCGATGAGGGCCAACTCCCACCGCGAGACTACCCTGACGGTCCGGGTAAAGACAACACTCCCAAATTCCGAATCGGCGATGATGATTAACTTGGGCGCCTCCCTACCCTATTGTATGACACTTTACCGCTTTCTTTTTTGGTACCTAACCCATCTCATTGTACAGATGACAATACTGCTTCTACCTATCTTTCAATTTCATTGGGTTTTTTTGAAATCTGGGCTTAAAGTAACTCTCTCTCTCTTGTCTTTCGATAAGATGGATCAGGCAAAGGCGATTTAGCTGGAGAGCGAATTCCACCTCGAAGATAGTACTTGAATAGAACGATATCTGGACGACAGGTTCCTCTGGCACCACGTCGCTGGGTAAGTCAATCCCAGTATCTAACCCAGTTTATCCTAATGAGGGGATGAGGATATGTTTTTAGGCACTTGAGGATGATTGATGTTACATGAGAAAGGAAGTTATGGCAAGGGGTTCAGGAGATAGGCTCAAGTGCATTCAACACCTTTAAGAGAGGCGGTTCACTGAATGGAAGGTGCACCAATTGACTCTGTCCCTCTGCCTGACACTTTAGGCAGCAACTGATGGCAAGAGCTTGCTTGAAAGGTGGGGATCAGAGAGGTCATTTCTCCGGTTCGCCTAACACTTGGAAGTGGTTGAATTTACGCCCTTTTTTATCACATCACCGAATCAAACGACAGTTAGGATGATTTTCTCGTAAGAAGCAAGATGAGACCAAAATTCCCACTTCCACATGATTTTGACACCTTCTACTTCCACTCCCACCATTTCCACATTCTGCCAATCAAATTTGTATACCTTTACAGGAAGAAAAAAGCTGGGATTAAGTCCACCTCTTAGCCTTCCAGCAGTGCTATAGGCCTTTGAGAAGAAGGTGAATAACTACTTTGAAGTCGGTGATTCCGTGACGTTAGTTAATGTTAAAACGGCGCATTTTATGCATTACGTTTTTGATGTAATTTGAGGTCTGACTCAAGACTACCACATACTTGTGATGAAAGTTATATACCACTAGAAGTGACGTGACAATGCGTCTTGTGGTGCACGTCAAGAGGGAATGACGACAGCTCCGAAGAGCCTCCTTTCAAGCGATGCTTGTAGCATGAGTAGAAGTCCCTATTCGGTTTTTGGATTAGAGGAGGGCTGTAGCCTACTAGAGACTGTAACACAGACCAGAGGGAAGGAATCCTTCAAATTGTGTAAATAGAATGACTGACAGACGACAGAGTGAGAGGCTTGTTAATTAGGAAGGCAGCTGGAGGGGAGATGTTTCATCAATTGCAAAAAATGAGGATGCACTTCCTGATAATGCGAGAAGTTAAAAGGACTTCCTGGCGAAATCTGAGCTGAGTTTGTGTGAGTAGCCCCTATAAGTTGAAAATCAAGAATAGTAGGTCCCCTAGAAATCCGTTAACCTATTTCCAAAAAACTGGAGAATTACAAAGTGGCGCCGTCAGGTTTAGGAGGAGGAGAGACTTTAGAAGAAAGAGATTAGTCGTAAAGGAACTAGCGTTGACAAACTGCCTATATCATAGGATGATGGGTTGGAAGTGGATGTGAGAGAGTAAAAAGCAGGATTTTCGACAAAATAGATGACTTTAA